GAATGAACTTGTCTTTTAACATGAGGTGCTTTCTAGTAATTTTAACATTCCTGAGCCTTAGAAGTTCTCAGCACATTACATGCAATTCATTCATCCTCACAAAACTGAATTAAGTACTGTTATCTCCATTTACAGGTGAGGAAACTGATTAGCTAGATTAATTCACTAGCCCAAAATTACAGAGCCTGGTAAGTGTAGGAGCTGGAATTCAAATCCAGAGTCCATTTTCTCAGTCATTACACAAAGAATTGCAGTACAGAGTAACCCACAAATCCCTTACCAATGTGCTCTCCATTTTTAAAACTAGTAGGTTTTCATTCCCTTAGCAAAAATTTATTGATGTTTATGTATCATCACATTTTTTTTAGACACGGGGTACACAGCAGTGAACAAAACAGACAAAAATCCCTGCCTTTTTGGTGTTCACATGGATGGGGAGATAAACACCAAAAGTAGTTAAGAGGGAAGACTATGAACCATGGTGCGATTCAGGTCAGGGCACCTGCCTGGGTCGCGGGCTGATCCCCAGTGTGGGGCGTGCAGGAGGCAGACGATCCATGATTCTCATTGATGCTTTTATCTCTCCCTCTCCTTTTCTCTCTGAAGTCAATTTTGAAAGTATTAAAAAATAAAATAAAATAGTGTGACCCAGGTAATGCTTCACAGGGACTTGTAACCCCAAGACCCATCGCCAGCTCCAAGCCTCACGAATGCGCGACACTCAGCCTCTACTTAGTGCTGGCGCGCCCCCTGGCGCCCCTTCGGGTCCCCGCAGCCCCAGCAGCCAGCGGCGGAACTTCAAGACCGGAAGCGCAAATCGTCCCCTCGCCCTCCTCTTCCGGTTCACTTCCGCCTACCCCGCCCAAGCGCCGGACCGGAAGCTCCTCTCCCTAACCCGATTCTCCTCATTGAGTTGAAACTCGGGAGACGTCAAGATGCCGGTAAGGAGCCCGAGTCCGGGGTGTGAGGTGATGGCGAGAATTGGGGAGAGCGGTGAGAAATGTGCGTGCGCCGAGAGAAGCGGGCCAAGCCGGTCGGAGAGGAAGCAGGGTCCAGACCAGGGGAGAGGGGAGGGAGCCAGTTCCTGTAGGACTGGGGACCGGCGAGTGTCGGCCTGGGGTACGAGAGAGGCTGCCTCAGCCCTCTGGCCCCTTCTCTCCAATGCCGACCCCACCTTTGCCCTTTCTGTACCCCACCCCCACCCCCGACACTGGCTGGGTCCCCAAAGCCTCATGGAGCCACTAAGTCAAGGGGAAGCACTTTTTATTTTTCATTTTTCTAGTTCAGGGTCCGGCTTCTCCTTTTTTCTGAAATCCCACTTCCTTCTCCAACCCAGGGGACAGGTCCCTTCCGCTTCCTGTCCTCTGTCAGACCCCACTTCCTCCCCTGGGGCCGCCACCCCTGCACTGTGGGTTTAGGGCCCCCGGGGCAAACGCCAGGGCCGAGCCTGGTTTCCACAGGTTTCCGGTTTATTGTGCATTCTAATAGGAGTAAAATTAGTGGTGGTCTGGTTTCTCTTAATTTCTGATAGCCAATCTGTGGGGTAGATTTATCGCCGTCGTGGGAGGCCTCCATTTTGCAGATGAGGGAAAAGGAAGTTTTCAACAACATGGGATCATTCAAACAACAAACATTACTGAGCACCTGCGTGCTAAGCACGGCTACAGCAGGGACTAGGGCAGCAAATCCCTGTTTTTACGGAGTTTACATTCTAATAGGGAGGCGGACAGGAAACAAATGCAAATAAAATGAGGTAATTTCTGATAGTGACAAATGCTATGAAGAACATAGATGAGGAACAAGACAGTGGTGTAGTAGCTGGTGAAGGGGATGGTGGGGGCTGCTTTAGATGAAGCATACCTGTGATTTAAAAAAAAGGCGCAAGCCATAGTTATCGGTACAAATATTGTGAATTCCATAGCGACCATTTGATTCCTGATGTGTTCCAGGCAGGCCCTGAGCTACACACTTTATATAAATTATCCCATTTAATCCTCACAGTGATCCTATGAAGTAGATTGTTACTCTTTTAAAAAAAATTTTTTTTTTAAAGTTTATTGATTTCAGAGAGGGAGAGAGAGATAGAAACATCAATGATGAGAATCATTGATCAGCTGCTTCCTGCACGCCCCCTACTGGGGATCGAGCCTGCAACCTGGGCATGTGCCCTTGGCTGGAATTGAACCTGGGACCCTTCAGTCTGGAGGCCCATAGCCAGTCTGTGGGGTAGATTTATCTGAGCCAAACCGTCTAGGCCAGATATGTTATTCTTTTCTCATTTTTCAGAGGAGGAACCTGAGGCTGAGAGAAGTTAAGTATTTTACCCAAGGTTGCACTCTAGTGCAAACGCCTTGGTAAGCCAGGTTTTAAGCCAGTTCTCTACAAGCCCTGTGCTCATTCCAGTTGGACACCGAGCACTTATTTAATATCTTGATATTACTCAATTAATATCTGTCTTCTCTATTAGCCCGAAAGTTCTTCAAGGATGGAGACCATACTGGTCTTGCATACTTTTAAATGACCAAGCCTTGCCTTCAGAAGGTGCTTAATAATCAGTTGGTGAATGAATGAATACATGAATGGGGCCCGTGTTGTCTTACAAAAAGCCAGACATTTTGTAAAAGGCAGAACTAGGAATCATACACATATTGCTCTCAAAAATGTGAGTTTACCCCCTTCATCCTTTAACTCACACCTCCCCAATGAAGGTGGTATAGTTTCCTCAATATAAAAATTTGGAAACAGATTAAGAAAAGTGATGTTTTGGTCAAAGATATAAAGCTAGGAAGTGGCAGAACAGAAAAACTAGTGCTTGGGTTCTGGCTTAACCACAGCTGATGGGTGGGTACTCCTGGTTTATATAATGTTTGCCTATTTCTGCAGTGTAACTATTCCCACCAGTTGCCAGTGTGATGTCACTGAATGTAAAATGGAAAGAGATGCACAGTAGCACCCCATTCATTATGTACTAGTAGTGCTATTTCTGCCATCAAAATACAAAAGACGCCGAAACCGGTTTGGCTCAGTGGATAGAGCGTCGGCCTGCGGACTGAAAGGTCCCAGGTTCGATTCCGGTCAAGGGCATGTACCTGGGTTGCGGGCACATCCCCAGTGGGAGATGTGCAAGAGGCAGCTGATCGATGTTTTTCTCTCATCGATGTTTCTAACTCTCTATCTCTCTCCCTTCCTCTCTGTAAAAAATCAATAAAATATATTTTTTTAAAAAATACAAAAGACATAAATAACTTTAAGATCATGGGCAACAGTAAAATACTTTTTAAAAATAAGGAGTAATGCATTTTGAATCTTTATTACCTTTGTTTTTAATAAAATTTATTGCAAATTTATATAATTTAATTTTTGAAAATTCCTAAAAAAGTAACAGTTGGTTTTCATGAGCCAGTAAGAGCCAGCTCTGCATGTTGCTGCCATCCTTCCCTCTGCCACATGCCCTAGTTAATCTTTGGGTGGGTTACTCTTTTTTTTTTCCTTTGGAGAAATGTACTTGTTTGCCTTGCTGACATTTGTTCTCCTTCTGTTTCTGTATTCTTATCTGGCTTGCCACTACAGGCTTACCACTCTTCTCTCATGGACCCCGACACCAAACTCATTGGAAACATGGCACTGTTGCCCATCAGAAGTCAGTTCAAAGGACCTGCCCCTAGAGAGAGTAAGTCGAAACCCCTTTCCATTATTTCCAGATGTTGGTGTGAATCATCTAGCAACCCTCTGACATTAAGTCAGGGAAATTCTTGGCTTAGTCCTCTGTCTCTGGTTGCTGTTGTATTTTCTATTTGGTTGATGGATATTGCTTTTTAGGCCTTTCAAGATTATGGGTATATGTTGTATCTAATAGGAAACTATCTTTGCTGCTAATTTCTCCAGGATATTTTGTTGAGGGAAAAGAGAAAATGTTGACACTTAAATCTTGACACTGTTTCTGTTATGACTGTCAGTTCTTACAAACTAATCTAATGCTGCTACTTCCATGTCCCCACCCCTTCTCTGCTATCAAGCTGGAAAAAAAAATTTTTTTAAATTTTTTTTTTTTCATTTTTGATCCTTATCTAGAGAAAGTGGTCTTACCAGGGCCCAGGCCGGGGAGGAGCCTACAACCACTGAGCCACTAAGCCAATCCAACTAGGGCACAACAAAACATATTTTGACCTCTTTCCTTCTATTTCCTTTTTCCATTGCTCAGGAGTTTCAATTTTTAGCAATACCTCAATCTTAAATATATATGTGTATATATTTTTTTCTAAGATTTTTAAATTGACTTTTAGAGAGACAAGAAGGGAAAGGGAGAGAGAGAGAGAAAAAAAAAAAAATCAATGTGAGAGTGAAACACAAGCCAGAAATGTGCCCCAACCAGAATCTAACTGGCAACGTTTTTGTGCATGGGACAACGCTCAACCAAGTGAGCCACAGCAGCCAGGGCTCAATCTTATATGTTAAAAGATGTGTCCTAAAAAACATTACTAATTCTGAATTTTACATGTGCTTTCTTTCTTGGTACTCACATTCCTCCCCCTCGTCCCCCACCCCCGGACCATTTTTTACTGTTCAGAGCTCCATTCTTTTTAGACACTATCTGAGACTCTTCGGACACATTCTGAGATAATCTGCCAACAGTATGATGTGTATTATATTAGACATGGTTTCCCTGCACCCAGAAGGGGTCTGCACTGAGTTCCATTCATGGTTTCCAAGGCCATGGTTTTAATTAATAATTTTGTACTGAGGCCCTCTCCGTCCTCCTGCCAGACTGTTAGACTTGACCTTTTTAAATTTAATTGCAAGCTCAATAAACCTAATAAATCTGGTGAGTCACTATAGTCTTTACTTGATTTTGAAATGAAATAAAAGGAACAGATGGGGAAAAGAAAGCAGACCAAAGAGAAGAAAAATGACGTAAAAGAATTACAGTGCAGAGAAAAAAATAGCCAATGTTGGCTTAGATTCCTTGAGAAGAACCCTTTCAGATCGGCACAAAACACCATATGGTGTGTCAAAAGATGCAATTGACCAAGGGGTTAATCTGATTACCACCCTTACAGTTCTTTGAAGATTTCTACAGATAAGGAATGACCTGTTACTGTTCCCCAGAGGACTGGATTCAAACCAAATTGGAATTATGGATGAATGTAAGCTATTCTGGGAGTTAAATAACTCTTAGCATTAATCTGATTATTTACAAATATCTTTTGAACACCTTTTATGTGCCAAATACCCTCCTAGGTTCTGAACCTTGTAGCCTCCCCACCACCTATGGTGACATTTAAAAGAACTAGCTGGTTTTTATAAACACTGTTGAAATCTTTGAGGAAGTTTCCTTTTTTACAGATAAGAAAATAGATTGCACGGAATACACATCTAGAGTTCAAATTCTCTTGAAATTCTTTAGCAGAGAAATGAGCAGGAATAATGACTGCTGATTTACAGAGTATTAAAACTTCAGGATTATTTTGCATTTCTGCTGTGTGAGAGGGATAGCAGGCATGGGCGAGAGATAAAAATAACTGTTTCTGTGTTGCTGAAACCAGCTGCTGGATACCAAGACCCTGGGATTGTAACCTTTTTAAAATAAAAAAAGGAAAACAAAAAATTGCCAAAAAAATTGTAATGAGATTTGTCTTTGTCACAACAGTATTTCTGGCTTTTTTCAGTTTCTAGCACCTAGAACAGCTTGTGCAAATATATTTGAAGTCATAGTATAAACAGAAAGATGTGCATGGGAACCCCAATGGGTTCCTAAATGACAGTTAAGAGGTGTGTTGTTTTTTCTGAAACTCGTATGTACATTCAAATAAAATTATATTGGATGCTTTTTAAAGTCATTTTATTAAAGTTAGTCTATGTCTCAGTCTGTTTTGAGAGATGTCTGGAACGATGTTCACCAAGTGTTAATAGTAGTTATTCCTTGGAAGTGAGATTAGGGTGACAATTAAAAATTCTTTGGGCCCTACCTGGTTTGGCTCAGTGGATAGAGCGCCAGCCTGTGGACTGAAAAGTCCCAGGTTCGATTCCGGTAAAGGGCATGTGGTAAAGGGCACATGCCCGGGTTGCTGGCTCAATCCCCAGTAGGGGGCGTGCAGGAGGCAGCCAATCAATGATCCTCTCTCATCATTGATGTTTCTGTCTCTCCCTCTCCCTTCCTCTCTGAAATCAATAAAAATACATACTTTTTAAAAATTGTTTGGTATTGATTAATCTTTCTGATAGTATGTATAGTTTTTATAAAAACAATAAAGCTATAAGAATAAATTATGTATTTATTTCTCTAGAAATTGTCTAAAGACTTTATATTTCAGTAGCCTCATTTTATTTTATTCAACTCCAAAACTTCTGTTCATTAATCTTGGATAACTTTTTTTCATTCTAGCTTTTATAGATGTTATGTTTTGCATTAAGCTAATGTTCTCTGCCCCCTCCCCTTGTATCTTGCTTAGCAAAAGACACAGATATTGTGGATGAAGCCATCTATTACTTCAAGGCCAATGTCTTCTTCAAAAACTATGAAATTAAGGTAAAGTACAGAGCTTTTAATATGTAAATAATTTTCTGATGGGAAAAAGATCTGGCTGGCAGTCCGGTTGCTCTAAATAAAATGAGATTATATGATTTTAAAAATCCAGAATAGTACTTAATGTTAAGCTTTATGTCAATATTAATTTCTTATTTTTCTTCCAAAGTCTACACCACAGGTTGGCAAATGACAGCCAAAGGGCCAAATCTGGCCCACCACCTCTTTTTGTAAAAAAAAGTTTTATTGAAACACAGCTATACACATTTGTTTATATTTTGTCTATGGCTGCTTTCACGCCACAATAGTTGAGTTGAGTAGTTGTAATAAAAACTGCAAAGCCTGAGATATTTATTATCTGGTCTTTGTTTCTTTATCCTACATTAACTAAGTACCTACTATGTACCAGCCTATAATTAAAAATCCTATATGCTATGTTATTTTTTATACACTTCTGTATCCTGGACCTGAGATGGAGAAATAAACTTCAATGACCCTGACCCTTCCTTCAAGCACCCTTTCTCCCTTCTCTTAGTTCTTGGTAGGATTCAGGTCGAGGTGAAGGTGGTAGAAAAGGAGAGAGGGAAATAGAAAAAAATTTCTGAGCTTCCGCTATGAGCAAGTTACAAGAAATATCAACACATTTTATGGATAATATTCTAGAATATGAAACTTTAACTTCCTGCCAAACTTTGGCTTTTTGGAATCAAACAGGGTCTGAAATCTTTTTTTGTAAATTCTTGGCTTACAAATTGTAGCCTAAATAGTCTGTGTTATTAGTGGAGTGTTTTCTGTATCTAATGCATGGTCTTATGTGTTTTATTTGTAATAGGTGTAAATAAATAAAATTCTGCCACATTTCATTCTCACTTGACTATCACATGATCTGAAATATAGGAAACTATAGTTTTGTTTGGTTTTTTTATAGTTTGTTTTTTAAACTATAAATCTGTGTAAACTTTTTTTAAAAGTATATTTTTATTTATTTCAGAGAGGAAGGGAGAGAGAAATATCAATGATGAGAGAGAATCATTGGTCAGCTATCTCCTGCATGCCCCACACTCTAGGGGTCGAGCCCACAACCCGGGCATGTGCCCTGAATGGGAATTGAACCGCGACCTCCTGATTCACAAGTCGATGCTCAACCATTGAGCCACACTGATGGGGCAAATCTGTGTAAACTTTGACCTGAAGTACGTGCCACATTGGATCCATACCCATTCACCTTTCCACATTTTCCTTTAGGTTAAGAGTTGGGCTTACAGAGCTCTTCAAGAACAAGTCACACGTGAAATATTGTTTCCTCTTGTAGAGTCATGAATGTTTCTGTTCTCGGCAGAGATCCTAAAATGAAAGGGTTTTTTAAAATTAGCGAACCATATGGTGCACCTCAGCTTTCCTGGCAGCTCTGTGAACTCAGCTTCCTACACAGAATGTGGGGCTGTTGGCACAGTTCCTCGGGAACCCAAGGGCAAGAGGAACGGAGGACAACAGGAGCAGCTCAGGGCAGACAGAAAGGGGCTTCAGAAGATTGCATTTGGAGAATGGGAATTTTAATGTATTTTTATTGATTTCAGAGAGGAAGGGAAAGGGAGAGAAAGATAGAAGCATCAATGATGAGAGAGAATCATTGATTGGCCGCCTCCTGCATGTCCCTCGCCGGGCATCAAGCCCACAACCCCGCATGTACCTTGACTGGAATCGAACCCCGGACCCTCAGTCCACAGGCTGACGCTCTATCCACTGAGCCAAACCAGCTAGGGCTGGAGAATGGGAATTTTTGATGCTATAGTAACTATACTTTCGCAGTTTTCAGTTGGTAATCAAAAGACAAAGATGTGAATTCATTTGTTGCACATAATTGTTAAGCTTTGTTCAGGACTGTTTTTAAGTTTTGTTTTCCCCTCTGTAGAATGAAGCTGATAGAACCTTGATATACATAACTCTCTACATTTCTGAGTGTCTAAAGAAACTCCAAAAGGTAATTAAACTTGCATGATCATCTCAGGAAAACAAGCTACTGATAGGTATTTGGACTCGATAAGACTTTAAGGGCAAATAGAACATATTTCCTCTGACTTAGAGCTTGGACTTGAAAGAAAAATCTGAATGTAGATTTCTAAACTTAAGTGTAGTTAACTAATCGGAGGATACGGCTTTGCATATATCGATGAGAAACATGGATCAGCCGCCTCCTGCACCCCCTCCCCCCCACTGAGGATGTCCCTGCAACCATGGCACATGCCCTTGACTGGAATGGAACAAGTATATTTTTATTGATTTCAGAGAGGAAAGGAGAGGGAGAGAGAGGTGGAAATATCATTGATGAGAGAGAATCACTGATCAGCTGCCTTCTGCATGCCCCCTACTGGGGATCGAACCTGCAACCTGGGCATGTGCCCTTGACCGGAATCAAACGTGGGATCCTTCAGTTTGCAGACTGATGCTCTATCCACGGAGCATAACCAGCTAGGGCTGGCTCAGAGATTCTTAACTTGGGAGTCCAAGGATAGAATTCAGGGGCCCATTAACCAGAGTGGGAAAAGATTCCATCTGTCTTTTCACTAACCTGTTACTGAAATTTAGCATTTACTTTCATTATCAATGTGGACAACAACCCACAGTTGTTTTAGCAATTTTTGTGACTTTTTCTCCAATAGAAACCACAGTAGTTTGCATTTAGAGTGGAAGATTTTTTGCAATGTTGTTTACACATCACTACTTCAGAATTTAGTTATTAGGGCTATGGTAAGATCTTGTATTTAGTAGATGAATAAAGAAGCACATGTATGACTATAACAACTTTTTTGATATTATAGTTACTGCATTTCAGTATAATTGGTTTCTTTTATAATTCTATGTATTATATTTTAATTATTTAAAACACTATTCTGAGAAGGGGCCCACAGGTAAAGCCTATGGGCAAAAGGTCACCAAAAATATTAACCCCAGCCAAAGCTACTTAAACTAAAAAATTGCAATTGTATATTATTATCCTTTTCCCTGTAAAATATATGTGTACAAATAATTTTTTTTTTTTTAGTGCAATTCCAAAAGCCAAGGTGAGAAAGAAATGTATACACTGGGAATCACTAATTTTCCCATTCCCGGAGAGCCTGGTTTTCCACTTAACGCAATTTATGCCAAACCTGCAAACAAACAGGAAGACGGTAAGGACAGTATCTCCACATCTCTCTATATGGCACAAGGTTTTCTCCACTTGACTTTTTACCCCCCTTCTCTTCTTGCCTTGATTGCTGTACAATTGAGAGTGGGATCATTAGCACATACATTCTCTTACTAGCTACTCTCAAGAGATTCTTGATAGCAATATAACATGTAGAGAATCTTTTGGATCAAAATGAATATAGTTATAAAGCCTTTTATTTTTTATTTTATTTTTTTAAATTTATTGATTTATTTTTTTACTGAGAGGAAGGAAGAAGGATAGAGAGTTAGAAACATTGATCAGCTGCCTCTTGCACACTCCCCACTGGGTATGTGCCCGCAACTAAGGTACATGCCCTTGACCGGAATCGAACCTGGGACCCTTCAGTCCGCAGGCCGACGCTCCATCCACTGAGCCAAACCGGCCAGGGCTATAAAGCCTTTTAGACTGTCATTTCTATTTCTAATCCTGTTTGAATGTACAGAAATAAATTGCAAAGGTCAGTGTCCAAATCAGCCACGAGCACATTTGTGATACAGTTTTTTGTGTTGTTCTGCCTGCTCCTTATTTTAGAAGTGATGAGGGCCTATTTGCAGCAGCTAAGGCAAGAGACTGGACTGAGACTTTGCGAGAAAGTTTTTGACCCTCAGAATGATAAACCCAGCAAGGTAAGACCCTCTTCTTTGCCTATTTAATTGATAACTCACCTTTTATCCTATAGTCTCCATTAAACAAAACACACTAAGATCTTTCATTGCAAGAAAACCTTCAGTTTCCAAACTGCCTTGTTGTTAAATTTTGAATATGTGCCTTGTACATGGTAGGAGTTCACAGTGAATCAGAGTGCATAAAATGATTACATATAATTAAAATTTTTGGTTGTCTGGTCTTATATCAGGACAGATTTTTTTGGCATGAGATATCTTGAATCTATTACTTCTATTTTGTCTTCGTAATTTTGAGTAACCTATAAGTCACTAAATAAAAAATAAATTTTACATTTTTACATGTGCTTTCAAGGAATGTGTATAACATAAGGGCTGCCAGACTAACATAAACTTTAATATTAAATAAATTCATATTCTGGCTTTACCTTGAACTTGCACTATAATTTCACTGCCACTGTGCGTTCTGTTTTGTCCCCTCGTGTTAGTGGTGGACTTGCTTTGTGAAGAGACAGTTCATGAACAAGAGCCTCTCAGGACCTGGACAGTAACGAGAGCTGGGCAGACACTGTTTCCACAGCGTGGGCAGCATTTTACCGCAAGATGTACACAGTTCTTTGCCTTTATTTCATAAAGTTTTATACAGAAGAGAGAAGAGAACATGTCTTTACTTGAAAAGTTCATTATCAAGAATTTGAGGGGGGGGAGAACAAATTGTCAAAGGGTGATTTGAAATTTTCTGCAGTATTAAGCTGGTGCTTAATAAGAAATAATAAAGGAATTTCTAACATTGTGTCAGAAAAACGTTATTCCTTTGCCATTCACTTAACATTTTTTGTAGATATTCATCCTCTTAAAGTATATAGTTCAGTAGTTTTTAGTATAGACACAAAGTTTTGCAACCATCACTACTAATTCCAGAAAATTTTCACCACCCGCAGACGATGTACTCTTTAGCAGTCACACACACGACCACTCCTCCCCCATTCCTCTCCATCCCCTTCCTCCTAGTCCCTGGCAACCACTGACCTATTTTTCTGTCTCTTTGGATTTGCCTATTCTGGACATTTCACTTCAATGGGGTCATATAACATGTGGCCTTTGTGTCTGGTTTCTTTCACTTAGAACCGTGGTCAGCAAACTGCAGCTCGCAAGCCACATGCAGCTCTTTGGCCCCTTGAGTGTGGCTCTTCCACAAAATACTACGTACGGGCGCACACGTACAGTGCATTGAACCTTCGTGGCCCATGCGCAGAAGTCGGTATTTTGTGGAAGAGCCACACTCAAGGGGCCAAGGAGCCACATGTGGCTCACAAGCCGCAGTTGGCCAACCACTGACTTAGAACAAGGCTTTCAGGATTTGTCCATGTTATAACTTCGTTCTCTTCCCATTTACCATTTTAACCATTTTTAAGTGTACAGTTCACTGGCATTAATTACATTCCATTCACAATGTTGTGCAACCATCATCTCTATTTATTTATTTTTAAATATGTTCTTACTGATTTCAGAAAGGGAGAGGGAGACAGAAACAACAATGATGAGAGAGAATCTTCCATTGGCTGCCTCCTGCATGCTTCTTACTGGAATTGAGCCAGCAACCAGGACTCTAACCATGACCTCATGGTTCATAGGTCGACGGTCAACCATTGAGCCACACTTGCCAGGCCTTCATCTCTATTTATTTACAAAACTTTTTCATTACCCCGAATGGAAACTGACCATTACCTGGTAAACTAATCTTTCCATTTCTGAATTTGCCAGTACCTAGCACCTCATATAATTGGAATCAAACAACTGAGTCATATGGTAACTATGTTTAACTTTCCGAAGAACTGCCAGACTGTTTTTTCCACAACGGCTGTGAGGGTTCTAATTTCTCCACAGCCTCACCAACACTTATTTGTCTATGACATCCTAGTGGGTTTGAAGCAGTATCTCATTATAGTTTTTATTTGTATTTCCCTAGTGACTAATGTTGACCATGTTTTCATGTGGATATCGGCCATTTGTATATCTTTTTTTGAGAAATGTTTATTCAAATCCTTTGCCCATTTTTAACTTGAATTATACTAGACCCTTGTCAGATATGTTTGCAGAAATGTTGTCCCATACTGTTCTGGTTTTTCTCTTTCTTGATTATGTCCTTTGAAGTACAGATGTTTTTAATTTGGGTGAAGTCCCATTTGTTTATTTTTTCTTCGGCCACTTGTGTTTTTGGTGTCATATCTAAGAAACCATTGCCTAATCCAAAGTGTTGATTTATGCATATTTTATAAGCACTTTATACTTTTAGTTCTTATATTTAGGTCTCTGACCTATTTTGAGTTAATTTTCATATCTATAATAATAAAAGCATAATATGCTAATTAGACTGGACATCCTTCGGGGAAGCCCCAGGCTGTGAGGGAAGCCAGGTCCCGGGTACCTGCAGGCAGCCAGGGGAAGCAAGGCCTACTCTTGCACGAATTTCATGCATCGGGCCTCTGATGCCCCAAATTTGTGCACTGGA